TCATTTTTCTGTTTCGAATTTGTCACATGCCATTTTATCTACATTATCAAGTCTAAAAGCGTTTCATTCGCCCGGTGACATGATACTAATATATTTATTATTTTCTTCATTTCGAATTAGGCCGCCTACCAAACCGTAAAGAAGCTTGAATCTAGAAAAGTCATGGAATATTCTAATCTCTAGATAACACGTGCTTGCGTGTCAATGTCTATTTTAATACATACAGTCGAAGCTCTCGTAAGCGACCACCTCGGAAATTCGAAAAAGTGGTCGTAACTAGAAGTGGTCGCTTACAAGACTGAGCTCTCGCAAGTAACCACGTGGTAAAACAATGGAGGATGGTCGCTTACGGGAACTTGAGAAACTCATTAATAATTCACAGAAGAAACTAATGTTTAATGAGTGTCTTTATATCTGATATAGACACGGCTAAACTTTACGTTTAATCGTAAGGCCTAAGTAACCATTAGCGCAATGTGCAGTTTCATTAAAGTTTTGATTTATATGTAAACTTAAAAGATTCTGAGTGGCCGCTAACAAGAGTTAAAAACAAAGGAAAAGTCTAGTTAGGTAATCCCGAAAGTGGTCACTGTCACTTCACTGCAAAGTCACAGTTCAAACAGGTTTCACAAAGGTGGTTGTAACTAGAACTGGTCGCTTACGAGAGTTGCCGCAAGGAGAGCTTTCAAATTTCCAAATTACATCAGTGATTCTATTTACTGAGTAAACACTTCGTCATGGTTATTAACCTGATGTTGATCTCTTATTTTACTTTCATTAGCATGTCACGATTTAGAGAAACGGAAACTTTACTATACTGCAAAGAACTAGCTGTTCAACTGGCTATTGCTATTGATTTCTTAACCAAAAGCACATGTTTACTTTAGAAACCTGTTAAGACCTATACCTATAACCAAGACTTTTGTCATCGGCGAACGTTCTATGTATAGCCAACCTCCTGCCAAGCTGCCTGGCCCAAAGCCAAAATTTTGCATTGAAACTGAAAGATTCGGCAAAACCAAACATTCAGTGATGTCTCGCCAGCCTTATATAGAATAAAGTACTGATGACAATATTTACAGAATAGGGATTGTTTAAGAAATTTCTTCCGAGCTTATGAATATCATTATTTCAATTATTTAGACTGATTGCTCATCCCCTTGAAAGAGTGCGATAGCTCTTTCATCTCCGCAAGGTTTCCTAACTCTAACCACAGAAGAAGACAAGTTTAATGTAACGACATAAACAGGAAAACATTCGAACTGATTGCTCCGCGTTCCTTGGAGCATTTGACGATGGCGTGTTGGTGGACCTGCATTGTGCTTCTTCTCGGTTTGATGCTGTCAAGCAGCAAATCAGGTAATTAAAATATTTATTGTATAACAGCGTACAATGTAGGTATCCTACAATTACTTTGGCTGAAAACTTTCTTTAAGGCAGCAACGTTGGAACATTGTTGTCAGGTGGTTATGTCCCAGTACTAAGAGACGTATTTACGATTTTTAACGTGATCAGCTCCTCTCTAGGTGTGGTTTATAAAACAATAACCTAGAATGGTGTTACAAGTTCTAATTCTGTCGGTACAATAATGTTTTATCCAAATTTTGAAGTTTTCGTAATATTTCAATTCCCGTGTCTCTGATGTACTGGATCATGCAGGTATAATTTTGTTTACAATAAAAAACCGAAACAACACTAGCTTCCTTAGTCATGGGGAAGGATGTTAACAGATAGCATTTCAGCGCAAAATATACCAGTGATCGACTGGCTATTTTTTGTTTTTGATTTTGATTTTTTAAATATTTAAGATATACCGCTCTGATCTTGTAATATTACTCTTAAAAACAAATTCATAACAAAACCTCCTATAGAGTGGTTTTCAATTGATTCTCGAAAGTATACTATGATCAGGCAATCGCTCTGTGTTAGGTTTAGGTTTCATTACCGTTAGAGACTGTTTGAGTAGTCTAATTGGTAAGTAATTGGTTTGGTTTTGGTTTTACGACAGTCAATTGAAAACGTCTCTATAATGTAAGAAT